TGTTCTGGTGGTAAACGTGGATGCCGGGTTCTGCTGGCCCCTCACATGTCAACACCCCCCTCCCCTCTGGCCACACCCCCAGGTGCCTATAGGGCCAATGGGACGACCCTCCATTCATGTGACAAATGCCTCGGTCCGGTTCCCACAACGTTTCCCGCCCCCCTACCCAGGCTCGCCGCTGGCAGCGGTCTCCGCGGCCTTTGGTGCACAGCTTCCCCTTGGCACTGCCTGATGGACCCCCTGCATCGCCATGGCGATGTCTCTCAGTTGCCATGGCAGTTTGATTGGCAGAAACTGCGATGGCTCCCAGTGTTGGTGCCAGGACAGAGCGGGGCTGTTATGTGCTGAGAACATGCTGCACCCCCAGCCTCTTTAGGAGCTGGCCTGGAGTTCCACATCCACGCCGGAGCTCCGCTGGGGAGCCCACAAGAGGGCTGTGTATGTGTGTGTGTGTGGGGGGGGGTGTTATGTATGTTTTACATTATGGGGTCCAAATATCCCACTTTGTGATTAGAAACCTGTTACAGTTTTTTCCAATCATTTTAACGCGTGTCTCAATACCATGTCCACTTTTTCAAAACACTTAAGACATGCACCATACCATTGGACCATGTGAGCTAAACTATGTATACGTTTGCATTGCTTTGACACAATATGCATTCAATCACCACTTCCCCCAAATTTCATGAATACTTCTCTCAGTCAGTGTTCGCCACCAGCAAAACTTTGTACAACTACAGCCGATTTTTCAGACGTTTAGATAATCTGTTCAAAACAGTTAACTCTCAGGTCAAAACCTAATGAAATTTAGAGCACTGTCAATTGAAACATGCTGCATTTTGACAGACAAAGGACACTATGCACTTGCACTAACACAAATAATTGTGCTTTTAGCAGAAATTTCCTAATTTTGTTTTTGTTTGCTGCTTTGTTACCATCTACACCATCTATACGAATGAGGCCATGGAGTGTCCCTTTCCTTTTTGCAAGGCAACACAATGTAATCTGTGCAAAAACAGTGGGTATGGCAGCACATATATTACAGTACAACATTTACATGTACAGTATTTATTTAGCAGGCACTTTTATCCAAAGCGACTTACAGTGAAGTACTATATCTACAGAGGTAGTTCCCCTGGAGCAAGTTGGGGTCAAGGGCCTTGCTCAGGGGCACAATGATGGCACCTCCTGGGAGTGAACTCACAATCTTCTGGGGTTCCTAATGGGAGCCCAGCCAGATCCCTAACTACTAGACCACCACCATCCCCCGAGTTCAGGGATCTCCAAGTCCGGTCCTGGAGAGCTACTGTCCAGTAGGTTTTCTATCCTACATGGCTTCTGATGAGCCTCACCTGCTCCTGGTATTTACTTGAGTATAGGTGTGACTCATCAGAAGCCAGGTAGGATAGAAAAACCTACTGGACAGTAGCTCTTCGGGACTGGAGTTGGAGACTCCTGCCCTAGATCACCCCAAGCATTTTACAATGGTTGAAGCTGGAAAGCTGAATGAAAACACACACCAGCCTGAAATTTCAGCTAAGAACCTATCTAGGAATTTGTTTGGTTAGTGCCAATTTGCCATATGTACAAAAGGTGCCATCTTTGGATTGGCATTTTCTGCTAGGAATGAAATATTTACATACTGCAAAAAAGAAACAGCAACACTTACATGATTTCTAATGAAATATATTGCAGCATTTCAGAATTTGTTGGTATTACAATTTTCACATGCAAAAGTAGTTCTTGTTTATTTTATTTTTACAATACAACATGATAGTAATTTGTGCCAAACTGGAGGATACAGCCACACTTTATATATGTAATTTGCAATGTTGAAAGTTGTTAGTGTTTTTTAGCCCATTGAACATTGAGTGCCCCAGTAGTGATGTTGGCTGACAGCATTTGTCATGGTTATGGCAGCATGAGTCACTTTTGGGTGAATTGTGAAACGTTTTGGTGGTTGTAGGGCATTTTGCACCAAAGGTTAAGTGATGTGCTCAGGTGTGTATTGGTACAACCCACTGTGTGAAGTGTTGTGAAAAAGTGGACATGGTATTGAGACAAGTGTGAAAATGATTGGAAAAAACTGTATTTTGATGCTGTGGGGACCATGTGTGTGTGCGTGTATGTGTGTGTCTCTGTGTTTGTGTGTGCGTGTGCATGTGTGTGTCTCTGTGTTTGTGTGTGCGTGTGCATGTGTGTGCCTCTGTGTTTGTGTGTGCATGTGCGTGCATGTGTGTGTCTATGTGTTTGTGTGTGCGTGTGTGTGTGCGTGTCTCTGTGTTTGTGTGTGCGTGTATGTGTGTGCATGTGTGTGTCTCTGTGTTTGTGTGTGCGTGTGCATGTGCGTGCATGCCTTTGTCTGTGTTTGTGTGTGCGTGTGCGTGCATTTGCGTTTTTCCAAGATTCAGCAGTGTCATCAGCACTTCTGATGCATTTCTGAGATGTTTCATCATACAAAGACTGCTGCCGGTGGTAATGGTTTGTAGGCTGTTCCCAGACTTGCTTCTCTGGATTGTGTCTGTGTCACACGTGTCTTACTAGTGCTGCAAGTAGTGAAGGCACCTATGATTGTGAGAGCCCCCAAAAGAGACACCTGTGATTGTGAGAGCCTCCCTTGTCACTCATCTATTCAAAACACATCATTGGTTGGCTGCACTGTATGAATTTTGGCTTCTCATGCAGAAGTCCTAGAATTGCAAAAGTCCAAAAAGTTAGGAAGTTTGTGAAACTGCCAGCATAATGTCGCCAGGCCCTGCGGCTTGTTAAATACCTAAAAGCTCTTCCTCTCCACCGGACGACTTGCCAGTCTGTTGGAAGAGGACACGCTTGTGCCCAGAGTATCCAACCAAACACCAACCCCCCTATAAAGTTCATAGCCATGGCCGTCTTCAGGAGTCCATCAGAAAGAGTGACATCAGTGTAGATGGTGCCTACGTCATCTGGACAAACCCTTGGAATCAAACAACCCCTGGATCCAACCCCCCTCTCCCAAAACTTTTATTAAAAGGGGTTAATTAGAGCAGCACAGGTATAGACTGGGGCCCACACTCTCTCAATGCATCTCTGACTGAAAAGACATGCTTTAAATGACTCTGATGTTGTTCTACGAGGGCAATGTGGCGGGGAAATATGAGCTGGGCAGCTTGAAGCAGAGATGGGGGGAGGGGGTTAACCATGTGACCGGGCCAGCCCATACAGGCCCCCAGGGGCACATGGTCAGGGTGGTTCGCTCTCACAGAGTTTCAGACTAGGCGCCATGTCCCATGTTAAATTAAGAACAACACTCCATCTGTGGACATCAATATTCATTTCTGCAGAGGGCTCCCTGCTGACGGAATGAAATAGCCCTTCCAAACATCGGTTTACAACCCCCACTGCGCATTAAACAACCCCCACCCCCCCATCCATGTTCTGCCCGGGCCCGTGGTTTCATTTCAAATTTGCCTGGTACAGCAGTAGAAGCTGGGCGAGTCACCTGGCCAGAGCCAATCAGAGCCATTCGATGGAGCAATCGATCAGGTGTCCGTCATCAGCCCTGCTGCTGTGAGCGTTGGGGGGGGGGGGTCTATAGCAGTGGTGGAGGATGTACTCAAACAATTCACTTAAATAAAAGTAGAAATAAACAGGCAAAAATGTACTCTAGTAAATGTTAACGTATCTCATTGGTCTTTCTGCTGAAGTAAAAGTAAGTAAATACAGTGTAAATACAGATATACATATGAACTCAGGAACACAGCTTTCGCATGTCGGACTCATTTGAGAAGTAGCGTGACACTGAGAGTGATTCATAGGCATCAGCATCCCAGTAGGTCCGTTTGGCTTCATTTCAGTCTATCAGAGATGCGTCTGCCAGGGTCAGCACAAGTTTGTCCCAGTCTTTCATGTCCTCCCCCTGTTTGGCCAGCAGGTGTCGCTGGCCATCCTGTCCTCCTAGTTGACAGCCTTTGTATTTTCCACTGTTCCCTGTTGGCCGCATGGCTACCTGTTAACCCCTCTAGTGTATGTTCGAGTCCTGCTTCCTCTGTTTTTGTATTTTGTTCCCTAGAGTTTCATTGGATCCGTTTTCCTAGTTCCTGCAATTTTGTGGTTTTCTGTTTTGGTTTCTTGCTTTGTGCCTTGGTTGTGTTTACCTGGCCTTCTTATTTGTCCAGTATTGGATTCTGTTTCTGTCAGTTTCAGTTTCCCTGTGATCTCCCAGTTTCTTTGAGTGAATAGTTAGTTTCACCTGTTGCCTGTTTTCTTGCGTCAGTCCTTGTGTGTTCCCCCTGATTGGTTAATAGTTTCATGTTTCACTCCTGTTGTGTCGTTACCTGGTTTAGTTTCTGTATTTAAGTCCCTGCCTTAGTTCAGTTCCCCAGTGGCTCATTGTAAGAATGTCAGTGATGTTGAATGTTGTGTTATTTGCATTCTACCTGCCCGCCCCTTGTTGCCCTGTCCTATTAGTAATTAGTCTTCATTTATCCCCTTTTACTTTTGACCCCTCGTGGTCTGATTTGTGACGCTCTGACATCCCGCCCAGGGTGTCCCCTGCCCTGTGACATCCCGCCCAGGGTGTCCCCTGCCCTGTGATACTCTGACATCCCACCCAGGGTGTCCCCTGCCCTGTGACGCTCTGACATCCTGCCCAGGGTGTCCCCTGCCCTGTGACGCTCTGACATCCCGCCCAGGGTGTCCCCTGCCCTGTGACGCTCTGACATCCCGCCCAGGGTGTCCCCTGCCTTCTTCCCTATGCTGCCTAGGGTGCATGAGCCCCCCCCCTACACACATCCGTATATTGTATATGTGGTTGCATGGATATATTTGAATGGTATTTATGTACACTTTTACATTTTTTATCTTTACACAAAATGATACAAATTGTATTTTTGTAGCTGCTTAAGTTTCTCTAAATGACCTGCAATGTTGTTTGGTTAATTGATCTTAGGTTAATTGATTGATTGGTTAATTGATTGACTGATTGCTTTATTTGCTTGTTGTGGTCCCACCTCCTGTCTCAGCCCCAGGGGTGCTGCCAGAGGGCCAGTTCGGCTCCCAGTTCGGCTCCCAGTTCGTGTGCAGCGTGCTGGCCTCTCACGTTGGTCACCAACCTTCTACCAGCCTCAGCTTTGTGTGGATTGCCCCCCCACCCGGCACCGGCTGCATCAACTTCCTGTGAGTTCCCCCCTGAAAGGTGCTGGAGGAAACAGACTGGGGAGAAAAGGGGTCGGTATTTCACGTCTGTTTTTCCTCGATAATGTTTTTGGACTTCCTTGCTGTCCCAGTGGGACGTCCTGCAGGACACACAGCCTCAGTCCCTTCCCTTGCTGGGGACAGGAAGGACACTGAGACTGGGTGGGAGGGTGTCCTGTATCCTGGTCCTTTCCCTGGGAGGCAATCTCACTGAAGAAGGTGCCGGGAAGACAAAATACTAGATGGTTGCATGTCCCCAGAGTTACCGCCCCCTAGTGGACAGGGAGGGGAGGTGCGCTGCACCAGGTGCCTGTTTTCTCCTAAAAATCAGCCTCATTAAATGAGATGAGGAATGTGCTGCAGCTGTGCTGTGAGGGGGTAAGATGAGGGGGCTCTGCCTTCTGGACCGGTACTGAGGGCTATAGCGCAAACCCAGTGAAGGTCAGAGTGCTCTAATGGATCTGCCTAGGTTTCAGCAACACCTCTGCACTGTCTCTGCCCCTCACGCCTCAGTGACCCCACCCCTGTACCTCACTATCTCCGCCTTCCAGCCCTCAGTGACCCCGCCCCTCACGCCTCAGTGACCCCGCCCATGTAACTCACTGTCTCCTCCCCAGGCCTCTGTGTCCATACCCTGTTCCTCACCGTCTCCACCCCCCAGGCCTCAGTGTCTCCACCCCTCACACCTCAGCGACTCCGCCCCTCACACCTCAGTGACCCCGCCCCTCACGCCTCAGTGACCCTGCCCCTGTTCCTCACCATCTCCAGTGTCTTGGCCCCCACGCCTCAGAGTCCTGATCCCCACACCCATGTCTCCACCCTCATATCACTGTTTCTCAGCTCCTGTGTCCCAGAATCTTCACCCCACACCCTAGTGTCTCCTTCCTTGTGCTCCAGTGTCTCTGCCCCCCCACGTCCCAGTGTCCCCATCCCCATCACTGTCTCTCCACCTCTGCGCCCCAGTGCCTCCACCCCACGTCTTTCTGTCTTAGCCCCTTAACCCCAAGGTGTCTGCCTCCTCACCCCTATGTTTCCGCCCCTAAACCATCTCTGTGATTTACAGGTGCACTGAATCCAATCTGTCAAACTACAATTAGCAACTGTTGATTCAGCAGGCCCACGAGGGGTGGCGTGCGGCACCCGGGGGGCGGAGCAAGCAACAGGGCATCCGTCCATCGTCCATCCGGGATAGGTTAGGGTGCGGCGTGGGCGTGACTTTGTTCTCTCAGGGTTTCTTCAAACTGTGGGGTCCAGTTATCGTATGACATGAGGGGACATTTTTTATGGTTTTATTATTATTTAATTTTTTTTACTGTTTTCCAAAACTAGAACATTCTGGAATAGAAATCAACATCTGAATTTTCAAATATGAGTAATACTTCAAATAATATTAACCAACTAATCACATAGTTAATTAGCCAATTATGGGACTCCAAGATGGGTAGCTAATGGCAGGTAGGTAAATCTCCGCTTCTTTGCTGGATTCTCCTCCCCACTGTATACCCCCTGATTTTGTTGGACGTGTCGGCGCCTCTCGGGGACAGTGTGTGACCGCCACAGGTCAGGGCTCCCGTCTGGACACCCCCGTCAAACACAGCCTGTCACACTTCCCATCATCCAGAACGGCGTTCCGGTGCTTTGACACGGGGAGGGAGTGTCTGACTGCTGTCATGCACCATCACTCGCTGGGGCTGCACGTTTGCCAAGTGTCACTTCTAAGACTTGCTCTACGGACAGATGAACAGAACAGAGACAATTGAATTCAATTTAAGCTGACTTTTTAAAATTTGTATCCGTTGCAAAACTTCGTTAAAAGATTCTGTGTTGAGTTGTTTCATGATTGTGTGAGTTGGCTAACAATTAGTGTTCTAACCTGTCATGGTGAATCAGTCTTTTTCATCTTACGCTTTCAGTTAGAGTGAGTGAGGGTAGCGGAGTTTCTGTGTCTCCCTACCTGGCGGAGCCCAGTCTACATCTGGACTGAAGTACAATTTAATCTGGAACAAGTGTTCGATCCCTCCCCCCCCAACAGCTCTGCAAATTTTATTGTCAGGGAAGCCGCCCCACCTGCAGAGCGTGTATCTGTGATCATCTTGTCACACGGTGATACCTAGTGTGTCTGTTTCCATTCCCACAGAGGTGCTTGATGTAAACACACAATCTGTGGTGCATGTGTGAGACAGCGAGAGTGCAGGGGGGCGGGGGTGACTGAAGAAAAATAAATGCAAACGAAAAGCACATTGATGATAATGGTTTATGCTTCATGTTCCCCCCCCTCCCCCCATGGAGAGGAGAGGCATCTGTTGCTGGGGAAATGGCTTTAATTACAGCAACCATGCCCGTCTCTGAAAGCACCCCCCCCCCCCCCACCAGGCGATAGGAGCTGAATCCCCCTTTGAAACATCAGCACAGACAAGAGTCACTTACAGAATAGAACCTGCGGCGGGGGTGAAGCTAGAGTGTGGCGTTTATGCTGCCGGCTGTAATTGAAAAGGATCGCCGACGGTCTGTAATTACCGCCAGCTGTAATTTGAGGGCCATCTGCTTGTGCGGTCCTGCATGCCGCTCTGACAGACTGGCTCCACGCTGATCGCTGGGGGCGGCCGGGGAGAGCGCCCCACCGGCACCTGCCTGCTGCATATAACCGGCTCCTGTCCTCTCCTGCAGTCAGGAGATTCACTTAATATCCTGCAGCAAAGGTTCCCAATCTGCTCCTTGGGGACCCACAGATGGTCCAAAGATGCGGACTGTCTGTGAGTCCCTGAGGGCTGGATTGGGAAACACTGTCCTAAAGGAGGAGACCTGAGGCGGACGTGGTCATGGTCTAGCTGGGGTGGATAAGATGAGTTTGCAGCGCCTTCTGTCTGGCCCTCGGGGCATCCCATGAGGCCACAACCCAATCGGGACCTAATTTAACAGGACATCTCTCAACCTGTTTGTCTAGAACAGAATCTGAATGAGAGAGATCTTTACTGGCCGAGTATATTAAGCGTGTAATATGTCTTGGTGGTTGTGTATAACATATAACATGCACGACTTTTTCAGAACAAATGTACACATGAATTTTTCACATGTCTTTTAACATGACTGTCTACTGACAATAAGAAGCAGCACGGGATGGAATAAAGGGTGAAACCAATAAACTGAGTGTAAGTAAATATAGGTGATGCTATGAAACGTTATAGGATCCCAGCTGACTAACGTGCAAAGTGTCTGTTATTAGCAGACGAGTTACTGTTGGTGAGGGGGGGGGGGCAGAAGTTGTCCCCTGTGTCCTCTGGATTTGGCTCCGATGGCTCGGAGTCTCCTGACTGAGGGTAGAAACCGAAACCTGTTGCCTTAAATGGTGGAGGAGGGGTCTGGTTTGCCCCAGTTGACCCAGTCCTACAGTATCGCTCAGCTTGATAACTGTCTTCTGGGCCAGCAGTGGACTCGCTGTGTCATAAACCTGTCAGCTGCCGGTGTCCCTGGCTCCCCGTCACGACCTCACTCCTCTTATGAGCCGTCACTAAAAAACATGGACGCTTCTCCACCCGCCGTTTTTTTATGGTCCTGCTACAGAAATATATAGCCGGTCACCCAGAGCACCGCCTGCTCCCACCTGGCCCGTCTGCTTTTAATGCAGATGGCTCTAGGGTTTGGTTACACTGTTTACATCTTTAGCACCATGGCTTCGACCTTCTCCTGCATTTTGCCATCCATCTACCTCACACGTTGTTTCAGTGGGCAACCACCATGAGGCAGGGCAGTCCCTTTCTTTCACCCACAATGCCCTGCACTAACTCAGTCTCTCCTGATTGGACAGTCTGGGTGGGGGAAGGAATAAATACACCTTGCATATTAATGTCATTAAGCTTTTGGGTGAGGTCAAGGTAGCAATTGCATGCTGAAAATGAATGTGATTTATTTTGACCTTTAAACACTTATTGTGGGGGGTTTAGTGAAAGGAAATGAAATGTCCTGGCATTGCAGAAAGTGGAAAAGGGCGTGTTTATATGTGGGAATGGCCATTGGTGGGAGTGGTCATATGTGGGAATGGCCATTGGTGGGAGTGGTCATATGTGGGAATGGCCATTGGTGGGAGTGGTCATATGTGGGAATGGTCATTGGTGGGAGGGGTCATATGTGGGAATGACTTTTGGTCGGAGTGGTCATATGTGGGAATAGCCATTGGTCGGAGTGGTCGTATGTGGGAATGGCCATTGGCCGGAGTGGTCATATGTGGGAATGGCCATTGGCCGGAGTGGTCATATGTGGGAATGGCCATTGGTGGGAATAGCTACATGTGGACTGACTGTGGGAATGTCAGTTTCTCTATAGGAGCACATGTGCTGTAGATCTCAGCTCCGCCTTTGTGCTCTCGTGGTCTTATAGATCTTATCCATCTCACATTAAAATGAGACACCAGTGTTTTATAGCATTTACACTTAAGAGTGTTTTATGGCATTTACACTTAAGAGTGTTTTATCTCATTTATTAATTATTATACTTCAGCCCTTCTTATATAAGGAAATAGGAAGCATTCCAGTCTGACACATCAAGCTGAGCTTAACTTCCCCTTCAGCTTATTATTATTGTATATATGCATTATTACCTGAGCAGTTGATTGCAGTCACATTAAAGGCAGCAAGGCCTCCTGACCTGCTGAAGCTCAGGCTGCTTCACTGTTCATTCAGAAAACCTCTTGGTTTGTCAAAGGTCTTCCACTGACCGTAATATCACCTCAGTTACTTTTACTAGATCAATTGATCTAATCCCCTGCATGGTTTTACTGTAACCTTACCATGTTGTTTTATATCACAGCGGTTAAACCAGTTACAGCCAGACTGACTAGATTCTGCTTTTCTGAATGAGATGGAATGAAATAGATAACGACGACTTTGCATTTTCCGTTACACATTTAACTGAAGTCAGGACAGACTCACCAATGAGTTTGGCAGGGGTGCTTTTTAAAAATCAGTCTATTAATCATGACTGATGCAACTGGGAGGTTGTGTGTAGTAAGTGGGTTTTTAACTGGGAACAAAAGAATTCACATGTGGCCTTCAGGGATAGCGCCCCCGAGTGGGTACATGGGGCTGAGGACACCGGGAGTGTGTGCAGGAAAGGAGGAAGACTTCTGGACGTCTGTTTGTGTGTTAGTGTGTCGATATGCCAGAGTGCTCACCAATTTTATAAGAAACCAGAAAAACTGTTGGTGTTCTACCTGCTGATACAGTTATTTAAGCCTGACAATGAGACACGTCCCAGTGACTGCCTCTCCCCGCTTTGTTCGGCGCGCCTCCTTCCTCCCGGGCCGCACCTCCACCCAGGCCGGACCTCCTCCCCCCACCACTGTGCTGATTACCTACGGTTTGCCGAAGCGATGGCGGCGGACTTTTCTACACGCGTATGTAAAATAAATCCCTGTTCTTCTTTCAATAAATAGCGTAGAAGTGAAAAACTGGCGTGTGCGGAGCGCTGGCCCAGGCTTTCATCTCCGGGTGTGAGGAGGTTTCTGCAGGCGCTAGTTCAAAGTGCGTTTTATGTTCCTGTCCCGAAGCCCTTAATATTTTACACCCCTACAGCGTGCTATATAATTAGCAAATTAATAAACTGGGCGATACTTTTAGCTGATTTAGTTAAATTTGAATATTTCTTGGTGGTGATTTCACACCTTCCTTGGCATTGCAGTGTGTGTGTGTCTGTGTGTTTGTGTGTCTGTTTCTGTCTCTGTGTGCGTGTGTGCGCGCGTGTGTGTGTGTGTGCGTATTCTGATGCCGTGCGGTTCCTGTATTCGCGGAGCCCCAGACTCTGTTTAGCAAAACCTTATGCGCCCTGATCCTGCACCGCCTCCCGGCTGCAGTAAGCGTCATGTTTTATTCACAAATACCAAACCCAAATTAGCCATTAACCAGGCCTGAAATATGAGTGTAATTATGAACCCCCCCACCAATGCTCACTTCTTCAGGTGCTGCACACAAGGTAGTTAATTTAATTTATGGCTATGGGTTTAAATATTCATGAGATGCATTTTAAATGCCTTGAAACTCATAAAAGCCAATGGCTGTGTGTGGGGTGGGGGCAGGGGGGGTTCTGGGACCATTCCTCCAAATTCTGAAAAAGTTCAGCTCTGCCCAGCATGACTAAGTGGGAAAAAGATGGATGTTGTTTTTATTCGTTATAAAGTTTAATTACTTGTTACATGTGCTTTTCCCAGTTTACCGTGATTCACGATAGTAAACCACACTGGTACCACAGTGGACCAGAGGCACGAAGGTGCATTTTGAGCCAGATGGACCATTTCACATGCTGTTCGTCACGTCACGTTTCACATGCTCTTTGTCACGTCACGTTTCACATGCTCTTCGTAACGTTTGCTGGCAGGTGTCCCACGTCTTACCGGCCGTTCGACGGGAGCTCCGCTCTAATGCAGCTGTTTCTGTTTTATGTCAAGTTCTCTGACATCTGGGGAATTTAACATACTCATCAGTATCAAAGCGTACAGGGTCACGGCAGCCTGCAGCCAAAGTTACCGGAAGATTCCCTCCCTGTTTTCAGAATGTGTGAGGGGAGGCGCCTCGCGTCAGATAGTCTGTCGTGACATTTTTTAATGCAAACAGAAAGCGACACCCGTGGTCTCTCGGCTCCTCCTGTCTTTAGACGGCCATCGTTAGTGGCCTGCAGACTTGGTTCGGTTCGTTTACAGCACATGACCTTTAGTGAGGAGCTGAATCTGACTCCTGGTAAGAACGCTTCGCTTGGTTACCTGTTCACACAACACCTGTCGGGGGTTACAAAACCTTTTCATATGAGTCTCCTATTTTCTGAAGGCCTGCTTTGAATATTTTCTCGCCGTGTGTTCAGTCTAAGCTTTTAAAGACACATTAAGTCCCATTTCGAGGAATTCTGCCTCATTCTTCCCAGTGCTGTGGTCATTGTTTTTACACTGAAGTGGGGGTCTTAGTAACATAGTAACATAGCTCAACTTTGAGTAAGTTTGCATGATTGCATGTGCAGGTGGGTGCGTGCGTCTGTAAGCTTGTCCACCTGCACATAACGTGCAAGCTTTGCTTGTGACTTGCAATAACTGGGTACAAGTTAGCGCTTGGCGCTCAGTGTTGTCGCCTGCCACTTTTACAGGGACGGGAACTTGTTAACCGGCGGGAGCCACGACCTCAAAGCACTCGGCTCCAGACCATATTGCGAGGCAGAACTGACACCTGTGCTAAATTCTGAGTTCACTCAGCCGGCCCACAGGGATCCAGGTGTCGCTCTTTGGCACCAGATGTTTAAGTCTGATCAGACTTTGCGCAGCATTTCTGTTCCCTTTTTTCAACAGTGGACTCCCTCCTCCGACAGTCTCTGCCTGCTAAGAATTTCTAATGGTCACAGACCATTATTCTTCATTCAGCGCCCTAATTAGAAGGCATGCGAGTACCTGCTGAACTCATAAGACTGAGTTGTAGCCTGCCCTTAATAGAGGATACTACAGAATCCAAACGCGGGGAATGGGGATTATATTCAGTCTGTAAAAGTAATTTACTGATGGCCTTGTAGAAGGGGATGAAAGATATGTGGAAGGCTGTCTTTATTGTTTATGATAAAACCCAGTATGGTTTTCTTGTAGGGGGTTTTAAGTTTTGATTTGTGTTATATTGCAATGTGCTGTGAAAGAATGTTTTTGAGCAAGCATGACTGTTCAGTCCTGTTGGTGTGATTTCTGTGTGATAGCCTGGCCGCTGAACAAGCCGCAGTATCCATAGCGAGCTTATTAACATTACTCGGGCCTTCCTTACTCTGAAACTGTGGTTTGGGGACGATTTTGACGTCTCAAAGGCAGCCGCGACCCAGGGCGAGGGGCTTCGGGCGGCCGTGACAGTGCCGTCATCCCCACATTCACGCATCATTCCCTCACCATCTCTCCGTGTCCCCGTCTGTCACCCAGGGCGACGGCCACGCACCGTGGGCAGATCATCTTCAAGGACGTCCTGGCCCAGCAGCTGTGCGAGCAGGGAGGTGAGGAGCATAACTGGGGGAGCTGGGTGGGAACGGGGGATTCTGGGACTGATGGACATGATTAAGTGGCGGAGCGTGGACGTCAATGCTGGGCGATGATTTACTGAAATTCCAACAGCTTTCTGAGACATTTTGACCAGACCAGACCTCAGTTATGTGAACGTGTTACTTGCTGGAAATAGTAGCTCTTGTGAAGCCTCAGCGGTACAGTTATATACGCTGGGAGGGACTTTAGTGAGTGGTTCCTGGAAAATATACAGCCCTTCCAGATCTTTCACTGCAAGCCGAGCGACATTAAAATAACAGGCTTCACTTTGTGCTCTCTGAAGGAGTTCCTTTATATTCACATAGCAAGGTTATAATGGTTAATCTGAAACACATAATGCAGGAAAATAAAATAACACATCCTGGTGTCCTGCAGTCACCTGGGTCACAAGTGTCAGGCATTTGCGGTCATGTATGGTGTTGTGCACAGTATAAGGGCAGTCTTATGTGCATACTTCCTGCAGACTGTCCTAGTAAATAAATGAAAAACAAGAAATGCAATGCATCGCTTGATTCTTAAATGATCAATGATAAATGGGATGAAGATAATTATATCTAATATAATTGTTTATTGACATGTAACATGTTTATAGTATTGCAATTTCAGCTGATCAATTAATTATAAATAATATAGTTTTTAGATATTTAGATTAGATTACATTAGATTACGGGACCAGGGTTTGAGTCTCTGCCTTGGCTCCATGGGTGTGGAGTTTGCATGTTTACTCTGCCTACTCTCCTCCCCCCCCCCATTCAACAAACATGCTCAGGTTGTTCGCAGTTACCAAATTGTCTGTTGGTGAGTGTCCGTGTATCCGTGTGCCCTGCCATGGGTTGACACCCCATCCAGGGTCATTCCCTGCCTTGCACCCATAGGCTCTGGACCCGCACAACCCTGATTGGTACAAGCAGTTACAGAAAATGGATGGATGGATTAGATTAGATGAACTTCATGGCCACAGAGGGAAATTCTAGTATTTATTTGATTGTTTCTTAAATAATCATTTCTCTAAAATAAGTTCAGAAGTGTTTTTTTCCCTTTAAGAGGTCTTGGCCGATGTCTTTGTCACCGTAATAGAGCAGTTATCCCCTTCCAGTCATCCAGCAGCCTGGATTTGCCAGCTTTGACTCAGAGTATTAAATCTCTGAATTACTAGGGCTCAGTATAAGCAGGCCGGCTAATGAGGAGCTGGGTAGATAGCGGCAGTGATCCAGCCCCCCTGCTAAAACATGAGCCCCGTTCCAGGTATAACTGCCTTCCCCGATTCACTCAGCAGACACCCTATAATTGGGAGTTAAGCGCCAGGGACAACGACAGAACATTTAGCCAAGGCTCAGATTTTCTCTCTTTGATGGAAATTCTCCAAGGGAATGAAAATACGTCATTTGTAGTGTAAGTAGTTGACCAGATACAGGAGATGATGACTGCTGCAATGGCCAGCGTGACGGTCTCCTCGCAGAACGCCACTGAATATTTCAGTCACCAGACTGTCCCTGGGGGGTTAAAGGCCTCACTGAAGGTCCCAACGGTACAATCAGATCCCCATCACTGGGGCTTTTAGTCTCCTGAGCCTCATGCTGCCCTCATATATGCCAAGAAGTGGGTAACTAACAGCGTCAATCCCACTGCTTTGGTGATGAGGCTGGGGGGGGCATTATCTGCACTCCTCTGCCTGGGTGAAAATGACCAATCAGGACAGGAGGTGGTGGGGAGGGGGGTGGGGCTACATAACATTAACAATAGTAGAACTTGCCATCATCTCCTTTCATGACCAGAAGTGTCTTCAGCAAACAGGTGTTTTACTTTCACTGATGTGAAAGTAGTAGTGAGTGAGGTGGGGGGGACAGATAGGCATTTTTTTGGGGGGGGGACAGATTTCACCATGAGAGGGAGGAAGAGCTGACCTGGCTGCAATTTAGGACTCCCTCTCTAGGGTGGGAGTGGGAAAGCCATAGGCTGTAAAAAACAGGCAGTGGGTTCGAGGAAGATCTATCGCCACAAAAATAAAGACAGAAAAAGTGAGTGGTTAGGCAGACGACCTAGTCTGGGCCGTATTCCTCCTTGGAGGATAATCTGTCACCATTTTCTGTGGCACAGCCTGTCAGTGAATTTAAATTACAAATCAAGAGGGAATTTGCTGGTGGCAAGAAAGAGAGGTGGGACGAGGGGTGGGGGCTGAGGAACGGAATGCCAGAACATTCTGGGAGGCAGATGGATGGAGGGAAAGAGGAAGGGTGGGGGCAGGAGAGGTACACACAGGGATGCATAAGACCGAGAGTGTAGCTCCCATTCTGTGCTTTCATAGTGTCAGAAGGACGGCCATCTTCCGAAGAAGTAATGAAGTATTAAAAACTTAGGAGGTTTGGAGGAATAAGGCAAAAGAGAGAGACAGAGAGACTCGAATGATGGCCAGAGTGTCGAAATGAGACGCGTGTGCTCCTCTCTGGCACAGTCCCCCTGCCTTCAGCCCCCCTGCCTTTGTTACGCTTTATCTTTCAGTAGCATGTTTATGTTAGTTTTTCTCAAAGCACCCCCCCCCCCAAAAAAAAGGGAAACTGTACAAAAGCTATGATTAAATGTGACCTTGAAGGACTGACAAATACTGGCAGCGAATGCGCCAAGGCCAGCTTTGTTTCAGATTGTTAAGCCCTGGGTATCCAATTCACAAGACAACAGTTTTCTGTGCCAAATGGAAGAGAAAAACGCGTAATTTAGCACATTGCTGCTAGGTTCTCTGTCTATGTTACATTTTACAAGGCAGTGCCTTATAGTATTTCACACAATGCAACATCCGGCCGACTGGAATTTTTTTATCCCACGTTTTGAGATGGAATCTCTTCTCTTTTGAGTCAAATTTTCCTCAACAATTCAGGTTTAGTTCGGTCACCATCCTTGTCACCTTGATTCAGTTCCTTGAGTGACATTCCATGTCAGCCAATCATTGATAAGATAATCAGCTTCTTTCCTGTTTCAGTGTTTGTTGGACATCTTTATTTCCTCTGTACTGATCACAAGCAGCCTCTTTTGGCATGTAACTGTAAATGAAAAAGGGAATTATCCTCTTCTCAGACTGGGGATTTTTGAAGACAGTGGATGGTCAAGGAACGTCTCTGCCCTCGAGAAGACAGAAGGCCAGAAGAACATGCAATATATGGGGCTCAGAGTGCCCTGGGGTCTCCTGCAAGGTTTAGGATCTGTGAAGGGAAGAGATCCACTTAATGGATACTGCTGTGTTGAAGAGGGCCAGAAGGTGGCAGTAATGGAAGGAGAGAGACAGACTGTTCTAAGATCAAAGGAGAAGATTGTGGAGAGTTAATCTGAGTGGCAATGACCAGTAAGTGAAGGTCTGAAGGTAGAGAGGGTGGGTGGGATCATCTGACAGGTTCAGACCATGGGATGAAACTCATTCATGGCTGTAGTGGAGTCGTGCCACTAGGAGATACTGTGGCTTCCAGGACCTGGTAGATGATCAGTAAGAATGAAACAAGGTGGATGAAAATAAAGTGAAAGTGAAATGAGCAGTTAGACCCCAAGAAGAGTGAGCTTAGTAGTTAGACCCTGGGAAGAGTGAGCTGAGTAGTTAGACCCTGAGAAGAGTGAGCGGAGTAGTGAGACCCCAAGAAGAGTGAGCTGAGTAGTTAGACCCAGGGAAGAGTGAGCTGAGTAGTGAGACCCCGAGAAGAGTGAGCTGAGTAGTGAGACTCTCGCAGCTCCTGCCTGCTGCTTGTGGTGATTCATCAGCGGCATCCGACCTGGAATGGTGCCCCTGCCAGCCACTTGGAAGGACGTCCCGAAAAATCCAGCACTGCGGCTCTTTGGGGGCTCAGCTCGGATGCAGCCATGGAAAAGTTTACATGTCAGGAAGACCCGCGAATCGCAGCCCAGGTGGAGAGCAGCCAATGCAGCACTTTCCAGCTCCAGGAGAATTTCGTTTTTTTCTTACATTTTTCTAGCTGTGGCTTTTTTCATTTTTGGTTTTTCTTACTTTTTTGTGCCCAGTTACACTCCAAGTGAAGCTCTGCTTTTCCCATCGCCATTCCGGTACCGCTGGACGTTTTCGTCATTTTCGGCCTGCGTGCTGACATTTAGGATTACTGCGTTATGTATGAGGCCCAGACAACACGTACCAAGCATGGGGGGGTGGGGGGGCTCCCTACCCTGATGTAGATGCTCTACTGTGACCAGATGCAAGGCGAGAGCCAGAACATGGCTGGTTGGGTCAAGAGAAATGGGAGGGGCAGGTTTATTGGGTTCTGGTTCTGAAGGCATGGCCCTGGATTGCAATCTCACTGAGGAGCAGTAAATCAGAGCTTTACGGTCGCTGTAGACACCTTGTCTCCAGAGATACGTTAGGGAGTCTCGGAATAACTCAAGCTGGACGTCCTCCCCAGAGGATGGATCAGACGTGGACACGGACCCGATGACAGGATCTACCATTTTTTATGGAGCGGGGGCCTTGAAACCTCTTTGAACTCCCCGCTTTGCTACTATTGAATTTATTTCCCCTTAGTGACTCATCCCCTGCACGGACCACCAGCGCCGTAAAGCATGATGAGGTTTTTATGCAGTGGCCAAGTTCGGCTCATCTACAAGGTTCTGAGATTGCAAGGTAACGATGAGGGGATTGCAAGTGGCCATTGGTGAAACCTCGGTCTGCCACTGCTCGCCAGTAAATCCCGTTCTCGTCCACGTCCATGAATGCCTGTAGATGCACCGGCCCACTGTACAGCCGAACTGCTTTTGTTGCATCCTGGTGGGCTTTGGTGTTGCCGTGGTAATCCTGGGGACACATTAAACCATTCCAAGGTGGCTAATTTCCCCTGTGGGAGCGTCTGAGTCGTTATCGGCAGAGTGTGCAAAAAGGTGCCCTGTCGAGTCGGCGATGACAAAGTGCGGTCAAGTTGCAGAAAAGACAGATCTGTAAAAACGTGAGTAGGGTAAAGTATGGCGGGTGAAAAAGGGGAGGGGGGGATTTACGGCTACAGATGGGAAAAGAGCTAGAGAAGGAGATTTGAAGTGACTTGTGACCAAAAAGCTGTAGTTTGTCAAAATGTCCTCTCATCTCATTCAAACAGCACCCCCAGATAAGCCCCCCCCAGCACACACCCTTCTGTCCACTGCCACCTTTGGGGGGCTTTTTGGATGAAATGAAAAGCCCTGCAAATAGGGTAAAGCCCTGGGCTGTGAGATATAAGCATTAGTGACGATCCTTCTCTAATGGAGGGAGTGGCAGGGGAACCATTTAAGGAAGTCGGGAAGATTAAGATGAGAAGGACGTGACTGTCTGCACTGTGAATAAGGGGAGGTCGCGGGGGGGACTTAGGAAGGCATGGGGGTGGAATTAGGGGAAAAGTGACAGAGGGAACGCAAGTGAGAGAAGGATAAGGGAAGTTTGGGAGCTGAACGTTGGAGGATTAATTACAGAGAAAGCGGCTGTCTGCATGTAGACAGGTGAAGTGAGTAGATCAGGAGGTGCTGACACAGGTCCATCACCTATGTAACATCAGCACTCGCTTCCCGCTGAAATGGACTGTAATGCAGAGCAACCGTGATGTGGAAGACGGATGGCTCGGGCTGGTCATTCCTGGAGAACCTGAGATTTGTGGTCGGCTGCAGTGGCTCGGGATGGGTTCAAATCCGATCATCCGTGAAGTTGAAGGAGTTCAGCACTGATTTATGTCTCGCTCACTTAGCAGCCTGTCTACCAAGAGTAGAGGGGGAAATCCTTTAGTTTTACTGTGAGAGTTACTGAATTCCCCCACCCTAAGTGGAGGGAGGCTGACTGGATTAGGGGGGCTCATTTGGGAAGGATAAGAAAACAATGGACAGAAAAAATCACAGAATTTAGGATGAGGAGGCGGGGCTAACTGTCTTGTAATCCATCACCCATAACTGTCATTTGGATTTGGATTCGGTTTTGGAATTCTCCATCCGGCTTCTGGAAACTGATCCGTGACATCCGAGCCCGGAACCAAGCCGTTCTTCATCTCGACTCTAGACGTTCAGGTGCAGTGGCTCAGCGTCACCAAGGATGGAGCTGGCAGATTACTTCCCTCATTTTTTAAACCGATTTAAGTTTCGTTCTTAAAACAGATTGAAAATCCAAGACTCGTTGCGGCAGAGCTGCTGCATGAAACTTTTCAGAGCTCGTTTGAAGCCCTGTATGGACATGCATGTGCCAGAGACTGGTGCTGGAAGGGGGGGGGGGCAGAAGGGTTCCCAAGCAAAAAGGACCTTATCACTTAGCTGGCATGAATTGGGGACAAGTCTCCTTTAACACTCAGCATGCTGAGAATGTGAAATAAAACTGAATCACAGCACCTTACTGCAGGGATTATCAACCCATATGTTAGGGATTTTTGTTGCAGACTCCCAGTAAGGCAGTGTTTATAAACCCAGTCCTCGGGGACCCCAGACAGTCCACATTTTTGCTCCGTCCCAGTTCCCAGCCAATCACGAACACCAAATACCCGGTTCCTGGGAGACCTAACCAGGACAGCAGACTAATCGTGGTCAGCTGGGCTTCACTGTCTGCACTGTTTGCAGGCTGGTGATCAATGGCCGTCTTAACCCCGTACCGCCTACCCTCCTTCTGGCCTGTGTGAGGCGCTGTATTACAGCTGAAGCTGAATCAGTGTGTCTATCTCTTTGCTCATTCGGCTTGCTGTCTCCATCAGGTCAGGCAGTTGCCCCAGACGCAGTGGCTTTGCAGAGAGCCGGTGGCCACCTAAAGCTCAGGTCCAAGAGCTCCTGAAAGTGGGGACAGTGATAGACCGATCAGCCTGTTTTACAGACATTAAGCTCTCAGACTCCACCAGCCGCCAGAATTAATGCCGACTGGAAACGATCCTTCTCTCCTTTTGGATTTATGAGCGAGGAGATGGAGTGAGCTGTCAGCCCCGGGTGATCGAAAGTAATCCGGACAAGTCTCCAGTGCTCTGGTCCCCCTGGTTTCCCCTCAACTGGCACATGTAGATGTGAACGTGTAGGTGTGTGGGGTCCAGCCTGCCAGTAGTCGAGCAGGACACTTCCTGATTGGTTAAAGGCTGGCAATTAGGTGCCGCATGGTCCAATGGGACACTCAGAGCGGGCCTCCCATACCCACGCTCTTAAAGGGCACTTGTCACACATACACGCAGACACCTTAGAGGGGTGCAAATGTTCCCGGGGGGGGGGAGGGGGGGGGATCAGGGGACAAGCCGCCCCCACTCACCAGTAATCGGCAATTAATTACTAACAATATAAACCAGCATTTTCTATCCTTTATTGGAGATGTGCGGCTCACTGGGTTGTGCTTTTGATCGGAAGGTTGCTAGTTCAAAACCCAGGATAGGCAGAATGATTTTGCCATTGGAGCTGTGAGCAAAGCTCCTATCCCCAAAATGCACCAGGGACTAACCCTGCCTACTGAATTGTTTGTCGCTTTGAATAAAAGCTAAACATGTAAATAAAAGTTAATGCGTTAGGGAGAGAGAGTCCTTAAAATGGCTGGTTGTGGATTCACCAATCGTGGGTTCACAGTGTCCGGTGGTTCCCAGTCCTGCCCGCTGACCTGTACGCCATCTCCATGCCAGCCAATATCACAGCAGGTCTTCCTCCTTGTGTTTCAGCTCCCACTGAGTCACCACAGAGACCCGCTCTTGGTAAGTACCAGCACCAGTGAACGAACATAAGGCATGTTTTCGGGGGGGCGGGGAATCAGATCCCATGTCTTATCCTACAATATGGGACAAACTACAACTCCCACAATGCTTTGTGGTATCCTGAAAAGAGAACAAGTATGAAGATAGTTTAGTTTGTCAGAATAATTCACTCCCTCTTTTTCTTTAACCCTAATCCCTTTATCCGTGTCTCACGAGAGCAGCTGAGATCCACGGGAACCATGTCATCCTCCGGGATGACTTTGACTCCAACCAGCAGGGAGAGCTAGACCCCAGCATCTGGTGAGTGGAACCATATTAGTATTTGTGTCTTGTTGTTGTGCGTCACTGCAGTTTCACATATTTCCACTCCATGTCCTGCCTAACTTGTTCCATCTTGGTCCCCAGGTCGGGCTGCAGTGCCTGTGAGGTGGGGGAGCGGTGTGGCGTCCTCATGCATGGCCGGGCTGTGACCTTTTGTGACCCCCTGGGCCAGAGAGAGCTGGTAACAGTCAAACCACTTCCCGCCCCTTTCCATCTGCCCGCTGCTTGTGACAGATCTCCCCAGGGAAAATGATTCCCATTAAAAAATCTTGCTGAATATTTCTAGGATGTCTAATTTTCTTAATACATGATTCATTTTAAATTCAGGAGATCACGCTTAGTTCTTGCTTTCTGTCAGCCAGAGATGTACCATTTAAGGACACAGAACTGATGCTCAAAGTTTTCTCTGAGTCTGAAAAGAGACGTTGTTATTGAGCCTGGCAATCTAAGTAAATCATCGCAATAAACTATTCAGCCATAAGTGGGAAATATTTGTTAGTCACTTTAGATAAAAGCATCGTCTCGGCGTCAGAAATGAGCGCTGTCAGGAGAAAAGCTCTTCTCTGATGCCGGGCTGAGAATCAGAATAGGAAATGCTCGTCCGCCAGTTCTCCCAAGGGGACGTGAGACGGAGCATCTGTGTACAGCCTTTACAGCATCTGTCACTTGACTTTTCTGCGGTGTAACATCGCGGATCACGCACCTGCGTGTGTGCCTACACACAGACATGGAACAGCAACGGGACAGGGGTCAGGATAACTGCTATACCAAATTTCCTGCTATGCCAAATTTCACATTTATATGTTACCTTCTATATCAAATTTCACATGTATTACTTACTCGCTATGCCAAATTTTACATTTATATCTTATCTGCTATACCAAATTTTACATTTATATCTTATCTGCTATACCAAATTTTACATTTATATCTTATCTGCTATACCGAATTTTATATTTATATCTTATCTACTATACCAACTTTCACGTTTTTACATTACCCACTATACCACATTTCACATGTATAAATTACCTGCCATACCACATTTCAAAATCCAAGGCATGAAATACCCCTGTTGTCATAAAAGGACGTATGAGTGACCCCGACTGTGAAAGGTGACATCATCACTGCGTTTTGGTTCCTCTCCCTCCAGATCACCAGACCACTCAACACCAGCGCAGCGTCAATTCTCCAGTTTGCCCTCAGTGAGTACTGTACTGGCTTATATTCCCAGTAAGACCAGTTTGCAGTAGATGAGCTGTCTATAAAGCTTCCTGAAACTCCCATAAACTCACAATCAGATTCGCCTTCAGCCAGATCGCATGATTTTCCGGAATGTTCTTCACCACAACTTGTCCCCTGCACCTGGATGACTGCGTCAGGCTCTTTGTCTTGTTTGGTGCTGCATCATAATGTTCCCTTGAAGTGACACTCCATCTCTACTTCACCGCTCCTTCCATCATTTCTCCCGCTGTCTGCAGTGCCACAGACGGCTGCACAGACACTAATTTATCTCTCTGGGAGCTCGGGTAAACAGTGAGGTTTTCCCTGTGAACCTTGATCCATTCAGAGCAGCTGGCACATCAATGCGGGAAGCAAATCGACATGTCCTTTTGTGAGGTGGGGGCTAGGTCATGCAAAAATGTTATGGACTGGTATAACGGACAGCACCCGTGTGCTTAGAGGTCCTCGCCCCCCCCCTCAATGCTGAAGCCACTAAGCTGGTAGCCCTCTTGCCAGGATGGGGGCAAACACAGTCCACCTGTTCCTGGGGGGGTAGATATTTAACTCCCGGCAGATGGGGTGCCTCGGGAAATAAGCGTTGGCTCATCGCTGGCCAAACGGAGAGCAGATCTGTGGGAAAGCGTGCGGCGCGTTCGCCTGTCAGCTGCTGCAACGCTGGTGTGTCTCTGCTGGTCAGGGCGGGAAGGGCATCTGCGCTCACTCTCCTGTGCATCTCTCTCCCTCTGTCTGTGCGTCTGCCAGGCTCCGGGCTGTGCCGGTTCAGTTACTCGGACCCCGACATCGTCATCTCCTTCAGCCTGAACAGCTCAGATGACTGGATCACCTTGGAGAGGATCCGGTCGGTCTCTTTCCCCCCCCGGCTTGAATCTCATGATCTCCTCCTCCTGTTGATTCTCTCTTCTCTTCTGCACATCGAGTTCCATCCCCTGGTCCATCCATCTGTCACTGACACGTTTTATGTATGATTCACACCCCCACCCCTGATTCATCGAGCCCTGTCACATGTCTTTCTGTCTCTTCTCCCTTTTTCCCTCCATCGCTTTTTATTTCTCATTCTGTCCCTCATTCCCTTTGTTTCTCTTACATTCCCCATTCCTTTTGTTCTAATGATCTATATAATCTCTTTGTTTTTCCGTTTCTCATGTTCCTTTTTTTCTTATGCACTGCAGGGCTCTGTAAGGCTCTGTAGAACTCCATAGAACTCTGCTCTGTAGATCTCTGTTTTGGGTTTGTACTGCTCTGGAGAACTTTGTAATGCTCTGTACTGTTCTGTACTGCTTTGGAGAGCTATATTGATCTGTAGAGCATGATACTGATCTGTATTGCCCTGCGATGACATGTGGAGCTCTGTAGAGCTCAGTGCTGATCTGTGGAGCTCTGTAGAGCTCAGTGCTGATCTGTAGGGCTCAGTGCTGATCTGTAGAGCTCAGTGCTGATCTGAAAAGGTCTGTACTGCTTTATAGAGCTCTGTACTGATATGTACAGCTCTACTGATCTGTAAAGCTCTGTGCTGAAATGTAAAGCTCTGTACTGCTCTGCATGGCTCTGTACTGACCTGTAAAGCACTATCCTGCTATGTAGAGCTCTGTGCTCATCTGTAGAGCTCTATACTGATCTGTAGCGCTTTTATAGGCATTTTTAAGTAATGAGCTGGGTAAGGCTGTGTGACCAAAAAGCTTAAATCTCGAATCCCAAGAGGGGACCTGATCTTGCAAAGTCATGCAAGGGAACTAACTTAAATCTGTGAAAGTCCAGTTGAAAAGTGGGGAAAATTTAAGCTGTGTGGGTAAGCTGCTTTTGAAGAGGAGATGTTTCATCAGCAGAAAATGAACATGGTGGAGTGGTGTTGAAATGCCCTAATGGGCTAGCATTCCACACCCCGAGCTTGATGCAACCTCCCCTCTCCTCCACTGCCCCACAGGGCCCCCTCCAACAGCAGCACCGTGGTGCATCTTCTCCCCCTGCCTGCACAGTCCCGCAGGGAGGGGGTGCGTCTCCGCTGGGCCCAGGAGCCTGCGATCAGGTCAGGCACCTACGAGTCCTGCTGGGGGCTGGACAATGTGCTCCTAGTCAATGTGGCTCACCGCCCCCCCCTTCTGGAGGACAACCTGGACCCCCCTGACACCTCCAACTGGCTCTTCTTCCCAGGGGCCACCATTAAGGTCTGTTGATCTGCTCTGGACCTGGTCCCATTCTTCATGATGTTATGTCCAGGACGAGTGGGGCCTCTCCTCTCGTCATTAAAAAACACACTATAAAATTCAGGCTTAATTAATAGCTTTGGTGCTGATTGCTCAATTACAGTCAGAAATATATATCAATTAGCATCGTTCTCAGTCTTCCTGCTGTCCTTTTCTCAGCATGCCTGTCAGTCTGAGGGCAGCACCTTGTATTTCCATGGCGGTGAGGGGGCGGGGCATAGCTTTGCCTCTTCCCGAGATGTGGACCTGCACCGCGAGGAGGGTCGCACCTACTGGGAGGAGGAGTTCGAGAGTCCGCCAGCCGGGTGGGTATCAGCCACGGCAGCCATGTCTCACTTTCAGATATTCCTCATGTCGAAGGAAGGTGGTGCCCCCCCTCTGTCTCCTTGGGGACCTGCAGACTGGGACCTGGGAGGGAGCAAAAATGTAGACCGCCTGTGGGTCCCCAAGCCGGCGTTGGGGAACAGTGGTCTAGAGTCATGTTCGGATCTCATGTGTCATGGGCAGGATCCAGAAGCCGATAGCAGAGCAGCGCTAATAATTGGACAAGAAGCATCAACAGAAGCCTGGTGTTAGTCTGGTGATACAGTCGACTTGGTGTTACACACTGGGCTGTATTTATAGAAGAACAGATAGTCATTAATGGCCTTACAATATAAGTGTTAAAAGGATCTAAAGAGACACACAGGAATGTTCAACTCATTGCGCTTCCGTTCATAGTCATGAAATCTGTCCTAACGGCCTCCTACCTGCCTTGAGTGTCATGGTATTAAACGGGGACAAGGCCACTGTCCGTGGTGCTGAAAACCACTGGCAGTTCAGTTCTGGGTCCTCAGTGTAACTGACGCCTTCCAACCGGTCGTGGTCACATTCAGGCAGGTTGTTCAGGAAGATCACCGTCTTACGCTCCATGGCTGTGAAAGCAAAGCTTTGGTCCCACAGCGAATTTTTTTCTGTTTTGCAAGAGAGGAGCAGTGACAGCGCCCTCTGCCCCTACCCCCCCCCCCCAAAAAAACATATATTATATATATATATATATTGCATATATTACAGTGACAGCCTGAGGGTCTCTCATGATAGTATTGGGGAGGGTTGTCTTCATATGACTGGGGGGGTCTGCCCCTGCCTGATGTGAATGACAGTGTATACCTACCCTCCCCCAGGTGGGAAATAGAGGGGGCGGTGTATGGGATGCAGTGTGGCGAGGTGGAGTCGGGCATGTCCCTGGTCTTCCTGGGGGAGGGCCGGAGGAGAGCCTGCACCCCCTACCTAGACGCAACCTCCTACGGGAACCTGCGGCTCCATTTCACCATGGGTAAGTGGCTTCTGGCCGCCCGGGCCTGCAGTGATCCCAGTGTCGCTCTGCTCCTCACCGGAATCGCCTCCTCCACGTGTCACGATGCAGGCGGGGGCCAGTGTGACCCTGGGGAGTCCCATGACCATGACGTCATCCTTTTCGGCCAGCTGGAGGGGGAGAGAGAGCCCGTGGTGCTGGACACGCTGCCGTACTCGTCCTACAGGGTAGGCTGCACATTCCTCGCAGAATTTCCCACTGAACTTCCAGTTTTTCCGGCTGTCTCTATCCCCCATCCTTGCCCCCCCCCCAGGTGCCCTCACTGGTATCAGTGGCCCTGCCCACTGAGCTCCAGGTCCCGACCACACGGTTCTGCCTAGAGCAGCGGGAACATGGCGGACCCCGGCGCCACGTCTGGGCCATGGACTTCCTGCAGCTACTGCCGGTGCTGCCTGGTGCTCGGACCCACGTGGCTCAGTTCTCCATCAACCTGGGCTGCGGCTCCTACCAGCCGGCAAACAGGTCCAGGCCCGTCTCCCACAGTCCAGACTCCCTGTTCTTCTCCTTTATGAAATTCCCATTTTTCCTGAGTCGCACTGAGCTGTTATTGTGACGTCCGCTGTAGTTTTTAGCTCGTTGTGTGAAAGTTGCCCTTTGCCCTGCATGAGGCAGTGTCAGCCTGGAGTTCTCCACCAATCACGGCCGCTCCTGGTCCCTGCTGCACACCGAGTGCCTCCCTGAGCTCTGTGTGGGTCCACACCTGCCCCACAGCACGATCTACTCCTCTGAAAACTACAGCGGGTCAGTGAACACACCTGGTGTCTGTGTCTTCTCTTAACTGTATGAATTATGAGTGCCAGCTGCATATAAGAGGCACGAGAACAACACAGGCTGGGACTGGAACCCACAACCTTCGCATTGTTAGTATAAGGCTCTGCTTATTGAGGGTTAGGGTTTGCTGGGTAGACTCAGGGCTCATGCTGGAGGTGAGGGGCTTTTTGTATGGTGGGGCCTCGGGATTTGTAACATATTGGGGTCCTGTTCCATTTGTGACTGAGCCTATTGCCCAGTTCTCGTGTGCCCGACCTCCAGCTCCAGCTTGCCCCAAGGAATATATCACCGTAATCTGAAGTTCCCAAATGTGGGTGTAATATTGGCTGTTTGTGTGTCGGTGTCGCCCCCTACAGGTGGACCCGGATATCCATCCCCCTGCCCAATGCTGCCCTCACTGACAGTACCCGCTTCCGCTGGAAGCAGACCGGTCCAGGGAATGGGAATATGTGGGCCATAGACAACGGTGCGAATCTCGCCTCATTCTCAGAGTGACATTCACCTGACTTCCTTTGTCACTGTTGGCTAGCAGAAATGGGAGAATGGCCCTTTAGGAACCATGGTGGGCGGGCTCATGCTCTGTCAATCACTGCCTGCCTTAAACTCATTAATGACAAAACTATATCAGAAATGGGGTGTGAGAGGGGCCATATTCCTTACTGAGGGGTCAGCCTCATCATTAGCCAATGACATTTTGAATCAGTGAGTGACAGGGGAGGTGATCCACACTGCGGTGACACCCTGACCTGCAGCGGGTTTCAGACTGACTGGCTGTCTTTATCTAAGTCGCTTGTATCCGTCCCCCTGGCCTGCTAACGCCGGTGTCCCCCCTCTCTGTCCATCTCTCCTGCAGTCTACATCGGGCCGTCCTGCCTTCGCTTCTGCTCTGGAAGGGGACACTGCTCCCGCACTGGGTGCAGGTAGGGGCCCCGCCCCCATGCGTTTGCGTCCGCTCCCAGTCGACCGCGGCTTTTCGCTTTACGCCCCCCTCCCTGCCTCCCCCCCAGGTGTGACCCCGGCTTCAGCGGTCCCGCCTGTGAGCTGGCCTCTCAGAACTACCCGGCCTTTTTGTCGGAGGGCTTCTCCAGCACACGCCTCTCCTCATACCACAGCTTCTCCTCGCTGCGTGGTGCCGAGGTCAGCTTCGGCTGTGGCGTGCTGGCCGCCGGCAAGGCGCTGGTCTTCAACCGGGACAGCCGGCGGCACCTGGTCACCTCGCCGCTGGACAGCGCCCAGGCCAGGTAGGGGGTCGGGGCCTTGGTGGGCGGGGCTTAAGAGGCGTGGTCTCAGTCAGTGAAAAACACTGAGACACACAGAGGTCTCAGGGGACTTCATTAGATACCCTCAATTTGGAAAGAATCAGATACATTATGCATTTCAGGAAATTTGAAGACATATGGATTATGGATTCTTAAGATTAGAAAAGATTAGAACACAGAGTCCGGGGGCTTCATTTTTGCTAGTTTGGTTGTATGTCTGTTTTTTTTCTCCATTATATTGCATATATGATTCAGATCACCTGTTTGTTCAGGATGTCATTGCTAGTCTCTATGTGTTTATGTCTGTTCTGTCTCTGTTTATATGCTTTAATCTTGTTACAGAAAGTTCTTATATTGCTTGACAATAAAAAATATTTGAAACAGATTCAGTGAAACACACTGATGCTCAAGGCTTGGGGAGATAGGCAAGGCAAGTTTATCTAAATAGCACATTTTCTATCGCGGCAGTCACTCAAAGTGCTTTACATAAAATAAAAGCAAGGGACAAGCATAATTTAGTGGAAGATAAAAAACTATAAGTGAAAGAATAATAAAAGAAAAAGTATCGACATGGACTAGCAGGGCTAAGTAATTCTGAGCGTTAAAAAGCGCTGTGGAATGGAAATGTTATGAGGCTGGATTTAAAGGTGCCAACATGGTGCGTTTCTGTCCTCCCCAGGGAGTCGATGCCCGTTAGTGGCAGGGCAGCTGAATACCATTAGGCTTTGTTTATCTTTCACTCTCACCGGCATTAGCTGATCAGCTCCGATTGATCCTAGCGGCCTGTTAGGTTCATGTTTATTCAGAAGGTCTGTGGTGTGAATGGGCTGAGACCTGGGACCTGGGAGTGATGTGTAAATAAAGAGCAGCACCTTGGATTATAAAGGCGACTGGAAGCCAGTGTAAGGAGTGAAGGACTGGACTGATGTGTGGAGTGATGTCTTCTCGTTCCTAGTTTACATTCCAGCGACAGCATTTTGGACGAGCTGGAGCTGTCTCATGGTTTTTGGAAGGGGTTCAAGAAAGTGTGACAATGAAGTGACAGTGACAGTGAAAGCACTGAGTGAAAGACTGACACCTGAAAGCTCTGTTGGATTGTCCCTGTTGATCCTCAGACAGAAGTGGCCCCTGCTTCTGTATTTCAGTGGATCCATCGCCATGGCCTGTGATAGACACCAGTGGTGATCTAGTCAGCCACACTACTGCTCTCTGTTTTTGTCATCCACTCCCTACTTTCATTCCTTCCTGTGGGGAGAGATGGATGGAGACCAAAGCGGGGTGCTGAGGAGGAGAGATTAATTTTAGGTGGGGGGGGGGGGGGAAGTGGCAAAACACTGAGAGGAACAACATCTGGGTTAGATTGATGATGCCTGGTGCGGTGCTCGGCACGCCGCCTGATGTGCATGCTTAGCGCCTGCTCCCTTATAATTGAATGAGCATTTGCTGGAGGAAACAAACAGGGCTGGCAGTTAGGAGCAGGGGGTGTGTCTTCACTCCGGGAGGGGGGTGATCCTCTCATCCGTCACTTGGCTGTCTCACGGATATGTGAGGAAGGGTGTTAATGACCGTTATGAATCCCGCTGCTGATTTTTCAGTGCCAGTCATGAATGAATGAATACGGGTTCCGCTCTGCATGTTTAGGTTCTGAGGATCACATGACCTGTCGCAGGCAGGTAGATGCTATTTGCATGCAGGTCAGGTCAGGTACTGTAACTTTTATGCCATGTGCAAAGCCCTGCTAACCTGCGGCTGTGTTAGGTTACCACGCCACCTAGAGGCCAGCAGCTGTAAAGTCTGTCATCTCCCTATCCCCCCTGAATCCTCAGGTACCTGCAGTTCACCCTGCGGCTTGGCAGCCGCAGCGCCCTGAGCTCCTGCCCTGCCCCCGATCAGCCAGGAGAGGGCGTCCTGCTGCACTACTCCTCAGACAATGGCATCACCTGGGTTCTGCTGGAGCACTATGCCTACCAAGGCTTCCACGAGCCCAGGTGCGGTACGGTGCCCCCTAAACATTGGCACTCGGACAGATCTCTGGCTCCTCCCCCACACTTATACCTGCCCCTCCCCCGTCTCCGCCCCTTCAGGATCATCTCCGTGGAGCTGCCCGTGGGTGCCCGCCGTTTCGGGGTACAGTTCCGCTGGTGGCAGCCGTATCACTCAGGTCGCGGGCAGGACGTGTGGGCGCTGGATGAGATCTCCATGACGTCTGTCCTCTTCAACACCATCAGCCTGGACTTCAGCAATGTGCTGGACGTCACCCAGAGCCTGGGATTCTACCTGGGCCATCTGCAGCCTTATTGTGGCCACGACTGGACACTCAGGTACCGGGAGCCCCTGCTGACATCCTGCCAAGCAGGGGAATAACAAAGGGGCGGGGCCACAGGGGCACAGACCCCAGCTAAAAGCTGATTGGCTCCCAAAGTGCCCCCTCCACTGTCATTCACTGATTCAAAAAATAATTTTGGCTAATGATAGGATTGCCCCCTCTGTATGAATTATGGGCCCTCTTATGTCCCTCACCTTAAACAATCCTAGAATCAACCTCGCTGCAAGGCATGGTAATCAGAATGGGTGCTACTGGGCCTCCAGGGAGACTAGCTCCTACACACAGTCTGGGCATCCGGGACCCACAGCTGGGAGGGACTGTCTGGCAGGGAGCTGCAGGCAGCAGAAATGGGGACCTTCTGTGCCTCCCCAAGGACCGGGTCAGGAAACATTGTTGGGGAGGATACATTTTAATGAATACATGACTGACAGCTAAAAACCCTTCACAGATGACCTTCTGTCCAAATAATTACTAATATCAAGTAATTAAGAGCTGAGTTTGACTTAAAAACGTGGAATCCCTGTCCTTGGACCGGGAATCGATTTGGGAGGAAAGGGGCTTTGAAGGCTGTATTGGGTTGGATTAGTATGTGCAGGAATCAGTATAATAGCCAAGAGAAAGTGGGATAAACGGACCCGTGACTGACAGCACACGGTAATCCCCCCCCAGCTTCACAGGCGACCCTGGTCCCGGCTCCAGCCTCCGCTATGTGGAGACCCAGTCCATGCAGATCGGCGCCTCCTACAGCCTGCAGTTCTCCCTGGCGATGGGCTGCGGCGGCGAGTCGTCCCCACACATGGACACCAGGGTGCACCTGGAGTACTCCACCAACCACGGGCTCACCTGGCACCTGGTGAAGGAGGTGGGCCGATTCCATTGTGAGCGTGTGAACACAGCAGGAACGATATTCAGCAGCCGACGGTCCTTAATCTTACAGAGCAGAGCTTAGAAATGAGTATTAAATGAACACTTAGACACTTAGCGGCACACACATTCATCATTTTAAGTATTATGTGTCTTAGGCCAACTTGATGAATCATATGTAACTGTTTATCTGAGTTTGGCTGTGCTGTGCTGACCCGAGCTAAGCTGACTTGTGCTGTGCTGACCTGAGCTGTGCTGACCTGTGCTGTACTGACCTGTGCTATACTGACCTGAGCTGTGCTGAACTGTGCTGAGCTGTCCTGAGCTGTGCTGACCTGTGCTATACTGACCTGAGCGGTGCTGAACTGAGCTGTGCTGTTCCACACAGGCTTGCCTGCCAGGAATGCCCAGCTGCCTGGAGTTCACTGCTGCCAGCATCTACCATCCATCTGAGTTCCCCAGCTGGAGGAGAGTCAGCCTACCTCTGCCACAGAAGACCTGGTGAGGAACTGACACAGACACACATGCAGACAGACAAACCAGACACAGACACACACACACACAGACAGACACACACACACACACATACACTCGCACAGACAGAGACATACACATGCACAGACAGAGACACACACACATACACACGCACAGAGACACAGACACAGACACACATACACAAGCAGACACAGAGACACAGACACACACACATACACACACACATACACACACACAGACAGAGACATACACAAAGACATTCACAGAGACGTATACACAGAGACACAGACACACACACACAAACACACACACATATGTGTGCTTGTAGAGAACTCCCATTGACTTCAATGCCGTTAACGACCTTTAAACAAATAGTTGTTAGACTCTTTTGTCCAAAGTAACCTACAAGAGGCAGATATTATGGCAGAAGCATACAGCTGTTAAGGAGCCTGCTTAGATACAAGGGCTGCTGGACTGAGCCCCCAGCGGGGGGCCGGTGATAGGTGCAAGGCAGCTGTGGCAAACGGAGCTATGAAGTTTACAGAAGAGACGCTATTCCTCTGGCAAAACACCAGCAGTTTGTTGCTCAGGTCTGGCATCTTTGCGGAGATATTTGCACGAAACTTTTTTCCCTCATGAAAGACCAGCACACAGATAAAGGTGCACAAACAGAGTGAACACATGCGGTACAGCCAGCGGTTGCATGGTTGTGTCATTTTGATAAATATGGACGCTAAGGCCCCTTGTCCTCCTGCCATATATACCTGAGCCCCCCAGCACGGCCTTAAATTAAGCGACCCCTACCTCATTCCCCCTCTCACGGAGGGGTCACAGGGGTCATGCTTCTGAATGGAGATTAGAGATCACCTCCCCTGATGCAGACAAGGTCAGAGGTCATGCTGCAATTATAACTAAGCTTCCGGAAACAGAGAACCCCTCCCCATTAGCTGTAAACACCCCCCCCCCCCCCCCCAACACCAAAATCCTCACTCCTGGCAGGAGCCAGCTATCCCCCGCCCCCCTCCCCCCATTAGGGAGCTCATCCCTCATCACATCAGGGACGTTATCATACCTGAGAGAATAGGGGTCCAGACACCACTTGGTTTGTGGGGCGGGGAGGGGGGCAGAGGGTCAATCTTTGGTCAGCTGCCTTTGGAGTGCATGTTTAAGGTTTGAAGATTGATCACTGTTTATGCTGCGGTGCCGGTTTTTTCCCTTTTTTTTGGAATTTCCAGAAATAGACAGCTGAAAATGTGGCCCAAAGACCCGAAGTACGGTAGTTCCTTTGGCCAAACAGCCTGAGCTTGCGGAAGCTTTAAAAGGTTCCTGACCTGTACTTCAGTCCAGCTGTGCTGAGTGGTTGACCCATTTTCGCTGTGTGCGCAGTATATTCAGCGCCGACCCGTTCTTTTCTCAACGGGGTTTCCCGGCTCAGGTCTGGCGCCACACGGTTCCGCTGGATCCAGAACTACTACGGTGAGCAGGATGACTGGGCGCTGGACGACATCTACATCGGTCAGCAGTGCCCTCAGATGTGCCGAGGGCACGGTTGGTGTGACCATGGCAACTGCAGGTACCGCGGTCGTGCGTCAGCCGGGCATGAAGATAAAGGGGCTGTTTCTGTTTTATAATATGTTACCAGAGCTGGGCCACACAAGTAGGTGCCATTTTTACACGTGTCTGATATTCCACACGTCACTCTACTTACCAAACACACAGCACCTGCTTCAAATTTTTGATTATAGCCAGAGGAGACTAGTAATGTGAAGGTCGCAGGTTCGAGAGCCTAAAAGGACCCTTGAGCTGTAAAAATAGGCAGTGCAATGACCCACTGTATGAATGGAAAAGCTCTTAAAACAGCTCTCAGCAAATCCGTCTGCTAAGTAACCAAAATGGACCCATTTAAATGTCTTCTAAAACATTTCAGGTAAAGTTCCTAATGAACAAGCCAGCTTTTACTCATGGACATTTTTGTACTCTGTGCTTCCCCTGCTGGTCATTCAGCAGAATTACCAGTACGTGAGATCACATCTAAGTGCTGACTCTCAGATGCACAACCCACCAGTCCCGTTGACCTTTTCCCCCAGGTGTGATGATGGGTTCTCAGAGTCAGACTGCCAGCCATCATCGCCCCTGTCCTCCAGCATCCTTTCGGACTTTGAATCCCAAGCTGCACTGCTCACGTCATGGCAGGATGTGATTGGTGGAGAGGTGGTGACCCCTGACCGGGGCTGTGGGGTCATATCATCGGGGTCTTCCCTCTATTTTAGCAAGGTATGGTCACATTCATGTTCCTGGGTTATCATTTGTTTTGTTCCCATTGAAATTTCGTAATTTCCAAATTGGTATTTTTAAAACAACATTTAAAAAGAGAGTGGTAAGGAGCATGCACTGATTACAGTGTGTAAGGAGCATGCACTGATACAGTGTGTAAGGAGCATGCACTGATACAGTGTGTAAGGAGCATGCACTGATACAGTGTGTAAGGAGCATGCACTTATTACAGTGCGTTGCCGCACACACCACATGACAGACCACCTCAGGGATGAGAGCCTGAGTGCAGCCCTGCGGCGGGTGAGACCTCAGCACCACACTAGTCCAAACAGAACAGTGTGAGTTTCTTCTGGTAGCTGCAGTGCCAATCCTGCCACTAACCCCCACATTTTCCCTGTAAGTTGGAGTACTTGCTTGCAGGGTTTGTTGCAGATTAACATCACATCCAGGATGAAGCAGCTGCAGGTTAATGGTCTTTGCTTTGGGGTCTTTGCTTTGGGATCACTCCTGACATTAGCGGGATGTGAACCACCAACCTTCTGGTGGCACAGATCCCTATCCTCAGAGCCACAATTCCACCCGCATGCTGTAATCAGCACACGCTCCTCACCATTTAAAAAGTACTGCATCTTTCTCTAAAACACTCTAATAATGCAGTCTATGCGTTTTCAATTGGTTTAATTCTGATTAAGGATTAACCTTGGGCACAAGGCAGAGGTGAGGATGCTGGTGAGGTTCATGGGATGCCAGTCGCACACACACACACACACACACACACAGACAGACCATGAGCAATTTAGAAACACCAGTTAACCCTTTCAGCCCCATCCGTTTTTGAGCGTTTTTCTATCCCTTTGATTTTAGGCTTATTACACTGTATGTACATGAGTTCACCACATATGCCGCATGTTTTTGTTTTCAGCACATTCTGAGCTACTCAGACACGTCATGATTTGATGTGCAAATGCTGACTCAGTCTTGACATCTTCCTTTTTAAGAGGAAAAACTACTTTCACCTATTGAGATTTCTCAATTTTTAATTTAATCTAATATCAAAATTTGCAGGCACTGGCAATGTAATATTATAAATATTGAGATTAGAGTGTCTATGATGTGTAAATGCATTAAGTAATTTATATCAAGTAATTGTCTTCATAATATATAAACTGCTTTGTTTTGTTGTTATTTCTAGCAGAACACCGGCCAATTTTTGAGTGTTTTTCTATCCCTTTATTTATAGGGTTATAATAAATTATTAAATGTTTTTTTTTTTCCCCCGGAAATGTAGTACGTGGACCATTGTGAAAGCAAATGTGCACTTTGATTTCCATCTACTGTGAATAATGTCGATGTTTTATGGATTATTAGAGGTGCGATTTGGTGGAAAATACTTAAAACATATGCCTATTTGTACACAGGATAACTCTGGAATACTTTAGTGCACAGTGTTACAAAGTTAAAATGTTAGAAAACTGGATCGAGTAAGCTCTCTCAATTCCAACGATATGTGTTACCTATCCAAAGTTACGAGCCTGAGATTAATGGGTGCCAAAATCAACGCATTATGCCTTTGTCGGGTTCTAAGGGTTAAGCAAAGTGAGAATATGTAAGCTACACATGCGTGTCAGGGTTCAAGCCCCCAGCTCTGGAGTTATTCCCATCCATCCATCCATCCATCCATTTTCTGTAATCGCTTGTCCTATTCAGGATACACTAAAATATCGGAAAATGAAGTAGGAGACGGGAGTTGAAACTGATTTAGGAATAATCTGGTGTACTCACAGGCTGGACTGCGGCAGCTGGTGACCCAGGACCTGGACACGGAGTGGGCGGAGTTTGTCCAGTTCTACCTGCGTGTGGGCGGGGACTGGGCGGAGTGTAACCATGCCGACAGCAGGGAGGAGGGCGTGCTGCTGCAGTACAGCAACGACGGGGGCATCAGCTGGGGGCTCATTGCTGAGATGTACTTCACTGATTTCACCAAGCCACGGTGAGTGGGTGTGGATGATGGGACTGTGAGTGGGTCTGGTGCTTCTGAGTGGTTCTGTGATTGGCTGAGACTTGACAGAGACCCCTCCCCCTCAGGTTTGTACATTATGAGCTCCCACTGGCTTCCAAGACTCCCTGCACCCGCTTCCGCTGGTGGCAGCCCCTGCACTCGGGGGAGGGCTATGACCAGTGGGCCATCGATGATGTCATCATCTTGTCAGAGAGGAAGAAACACATCATCCCCATGGCTAACCCCACCCTGCCACTGGTGAGCTCTGTGGGGGAGCACAAAGTCGGGGGCCTAATGAGACTCTGGCACACTGAGATAATGCCACTGAGACACTGGCACACTGAGACACCGGCACTGAGACCCTGGCACACTGAGATAATGCCACTGAGACCCTGGCACACTGAGACACCGGCACTGAGACCCTGGCACACTGAGATAATGCCACTGAGACCCTGGCACACTGAGACACCGGCACTGAGACCCTGGCACACTGAGACATTGGCACTGAGACCCTGGCACACTGAGACACCGGCACTGAGACCCTGGC